AATCCAGGCTATCAACATCTGCCATTTCACAGCGAAAGCCTTAGGAATTCATCACGCGAAATGACTTGTTTAAAACATTACTTGACAGCTTGTTGACACCTTGCATCAAAATTTAGCCAATGGGAATTGCCCGTGGCTGGGAGAAGTGGGTAATTCAAACGAATATAACGTATGCAAAAAGGACAGTCCGTATTTTTAGCGTCTCTCCCCAGTCTCACTCTCTGTTTTCAGCCTCGTTCCAGACCTTTTGTTTGACTAGTCGCGCTTCCTTAAATACGCAAAAATACGGACTGTTTTGCAGTCTACCAGAAGCACCGCTTGTTTCACTAACAGGAGACGGGTGGTTCAAGAAAGAGCTCGAAGAAGAATCCAAACTTCATCCCGAATAATTGTCCCCTGCCGACTCTTGACCTTGATCATCACTTTCCTGACCTTCTTGACTTGTGGAGTTAGCTTACACGTTGTCTCTAAAAACGGACTGGTACCGGCGCCTTTTTTTTCACAGAATACAAATTTCCATTACAAAAAAGGCATTTACAAGGAACTAGCGCTTTTTTCCTGTCTCTGTCCTTTTGCTTTCGTTTTTTTCTCACCACAGACTCAGAGTAAATGGCACATGCTGACTGCATACTGTTTTCGACTAAACTCGAAGCATACACAGAGGGAAACACTGCGGATCAGAGGGAGCACTGGGAATTAGCCTATGTGTCCAATAGTAAGGGGAGACTATATCAGTGGGTGGAGCATTGAAGGAGGTTGCAAAATATTCTCCCGCTCCTTTTCACATCGATCGGGCGTGAAAAGTCCTTAATCTAGAGGTCAAAAGCCAATGTTGCTGTTTGTTCGAGTCTTTTAAATAATATTGTTCTCGAATCTGCGATCTCGAACACAGATGAGTGGTGTTAGATATAGATGGTAAGAAAGACGATTTCACAAAAGAACAACTGCTTTCAAGACGAAAAACAAAGAAAAGGCAGAGCAGGCACAACAGACTTTCTCGGTAGGTAGAAAGTATTAATTTATAATGACTATACAGGTGTGTTCTTCCGTTTTACAAGTCACCAAGTTTAGGCACGAAAATTATTGAATGTGCATACCTGTATATGTGCATGATGCGATCAACGATCAAACATCGATTGTAGTGTTAGGAAAGCTTAAGCTTACTGTGTGGCTTTCTCTGTAATTTCAGTTTAACTTTTTAATATTTACCACAGAAATCCTTGTTTATAGGTGGCTCATAGCAAATATAAATATGACGATATATACGTGTTCTTCAATGTCAAATGAACGTTCTTCTCCTTTCACTAAGTTAAGACACGAAAATACGTGTGAATTTATACCATCACTTCCCTCCATATATGCATAGTCAGATCGTTCCCCAAAAAAGTCTGATCGTACCACAAATGAAATCACATCGTTCCACGTAATAATAATTATGTAACTGCCTATGTACAGAGCAATTTCAGTGTGATATCCAAGAAAACTTAAGGTTAAGTCGCCCCAAAAACCGAGAAACGTGCACATACAATCCTGGTCAAAACGTTTGCGACACTTCATGTTTTAGCTGACGAAATGTAATGCAAGTTGACCCCCCTCCCCCCCCCCTGAACAGTAGGGACCTTTAGCACAAGAGCAATTTAGGACGGCGACGGCGACCGGAAGTGATTTTTATTTCCGGTTCGCGTCGTAGGTTTTGGCGCGACGTCGTGCAAGGCCCGTGTCGACGCCAAAAAGCTGTTTTTCGTGTTGCGGAGAAAATGTGAGTAGACTTCTGGTTTCTTTTTCATTTATATTAGCATATTACATTTATTTTAGGCTCAAATGCTTTCAAAATGAAGAAAGAGTCTCTTTTCATAGTCTATCAAGATGGCGAAGCCAAAGATGAGCAATTTTCTATCTGATTTTTTAGGCTGAAGTTGAATGAAGTTTAAGGTCAAATATGGCTGCAGTGGACGAGACAAGGGAGCGATCAAAAACAAAGCAAGAAATACACCAAAAGTTACCGAAAAACTTTCATTTTACATGGAATAATTAAGTAATCTTAAATTACAATAACTTTTCTTTCAGGCCGATGGAATGGACGGAGGAAAAAGATGTTTTCATGTTGAGGGAAATGTTAGGCTCCAATGTTTTCGCTCACAAAAAAGGAAGCCCAGCTCGTGGCCTAGCTTGAGAGGCAATAGTATCGACGCTTAATGGATTGGAGTCTCAAGAGTTTTAACTTAAAGACAAAAGAGCAGTGAGTTCTAATTGAGGAGCTAGTTTCCAGAGAAGACACAGCGACAGCGTTGGAAGCCGAAACTGCATCCAAACAACAGGAAAAAGAAACGGCTAAAAACATGAGAAAGAAGGCAACGGAGACCCTAGGAGAAACGAATAAGCGAAAATCCGAAAGCAAGGATGGATCTACCGGCAAGTGGGGCAAGTCAGGCCGATGTGCGAAGCCACTTGCACACTTCTTAAGAGAGAAGTCAGAAGCTGACAGAGAAATTAGACAACA